ATCCTAAAAATGATGGAAACCAGAAGCCAGACAGCGTCTATAAAACAAGTCCCCACCAGCCAACTACAGCCTTCATTCCCTTCCTTTGTCTCTCCACCCAAAACACAACAGCCCCCCACCACACTACAACCGTGAGCTTCTATCATTTTCTCTAGCAGATCACCATCCACAAAGTCATCTCCACCGCCACCACCACAACCACCAATTTCCTTTTCTTTTGTACACTTGTTTATTTATTTTTTATTTTCCTATAAGAATGTCCTGGAGCTGCTTTTGGGTTAAAATCTTGAAATCTTCAACTTGTGGATTAGAAAGAAGAAACTTGAACTAGAGAGGAGACTAAACATGGGAAGAAATTAGGTATTATGATTAAAAAAAGAAGCAGCATGATCTCACCGTTCCCAGCTTGTCTAATTTTATGATTACGGTTATATTTTAAAGTGTTTAAAGTGTTTTTCTGTATAAAATATATCAAATTATTTTTTTATTTTTAAAAAATTATTTTTCAGATCGATACATTAAAAAAATTAAAATAAAATTAAAATAAAATTTTAAAAAATATAGGTTAGCTCATGTTTTCAAATAAAGCTTAATCATTTGATCATCAAAGTTTAATTAGGTGAATTTCTTAAAAAATATATATTTTTTTATTATGATTAAGTTTATTATCTGAGTCCACCAGGTTTTAAATAATTTCTTTTTTAATTTTTTCAAGTTTGAAATTATATTTTTTTTTTGTTCCACTTCAAAAGGTTTCACTTTTATGAAGAGAACTAAAAGTTCATTGACAACCTTTTGGTTTTATACAATACACACGAATGCTATTAGCGAATATTATTCCGATTGAACGGTAGGAATGGCTTCTCCCACTTTCTTTCCCACAACCAATATATTAATTAAAAACCAACATTTCCTACAATGATTACTACAAATGCAACCGAAATTCTTATACATCTACGCAGTGGTTCACTATTTCTTAAGTTCAACTCCTCCCCGGACGGATTATAGAACCAAAAAAACCCCCGAACCTGGCTATTGAATGCGAGGCTTGGACTTGAGATTTCGCCTTCTTACTCGTAAGAACACCACTTGAATTAAGAGTGAATTGGTTTGACCCCTCCACGAGGAATTATAATAATAATTTAAAAATATTTTTGAATATCATTTTATTAAAATATTAAAAATATTTTTAAATAAAAAAATAAAATTTTAAAAAACATGGTTTCCAGCGGTAAAAAGTGAAAATGGATGTTCACGTGGGAGATTACTAATGTTGATGCAAAAGCAGTACAAAATCATTTAAAATGCTGTGAGGACAAGCGATGCCGAATCTCAGGACAGAAGTAGTGCCGTTACATCTGAATCATTACGCCAACCGCCAACCTTGGGCTCAACTTCTTTTGTGTCACGGCCATTCTTCAATCTGGCTATCATTGCAATGCTGTAGTAAAGTGGTTGGTGGTCGTTTTACATCAATTTTGGTCCGAAAGGCTATGATTAGTTTCCTAAAAATCAGTGAACTCTCTTCTTATCTATCATCTCGTACAAGATGAATTGAAACCAATATTTTTTTTTTAAAAAAAAAATCCTTTGATCTCAAGGCTAATAGCAATTAATAGATCGGTGGTGATTGTTTTTTAAGTGTTGTTTTATTAAAATATTAAAAATAATATTTTTAAATTTTTTAATATCATCATACCAAAACAATAAAAAATATAAAAAATAATTTTAAACTAAAAAAACTTGATTTTTTTAAAATCTAATGCGTCCTCAATAACCCTGCAGTCACAGCCCATAAATACCACTGAACTGGCATTTCCCACCCACTCTTCGACTGCCAAAAAAAAAGAAAAAGAAAAGGAAAAGAACTCAGAAGAACGACCTTTGGGCGGCAATTTACACAGGTTACATTGAACTTATTATGGGGTCAAAAGAAGGGGCCCAGTTGTCCGTCGGCGGAGGGCAAAACTCCGTTTCTAATGTTGTGATTCGAGGGCTTATTTGTCCCTTTGTTTCAAAAATATTTTTTAATAATATTTTTTAATAATTTTTTAATTATATATATTAATCTTAAAAATAATTTTTTAAAAATAAAAAATATTTTAAAAAATAATTACAATAACACTCACAAATACACTGTTTACCACAATCCGCGAACCGTAGTTACAAGACTGTGGTCTACTTGTTAATGGTATCGTGGGTTAGAAAGGTTGATTTGAGGGTACACGTCAAGTTTTGAATTTTTTTTTTAAAAAAAACAAATATACTCATTAGACGATGTTTCAAGTTTTTTTCCTAGCAATTATTTTTAAAAAAAAATATAAAACGTGTTTTAGATTTTTTTTAAAAAAACAAAACAACATAATTTTTTTATAAATAATAACAAGATGAAGCGTGTTAGATGCTATTGAGCATTCTAGAACCTTATCTTTTTAAACATTATCTTTTTAGTCTTAAATTATTATTTTTTATTGTTTTAGATTATTTTACATGCTAATATTAAAAATAAAATTTTAAAAATAATAAAAAATTATTTTAAAATATCTATAAATGAAAACATTAAACCCCCCCTAAAAAAATATATTTGTTGGATCGGTTTAATTATCATCTCAAACTTGAAGGGTAACTGAATTATAATATTTCTCGTATAAAATTGAAACTATAAGTTACAGTAATCATCCTAGTATTTTAGATTGATCCATTTAAATTAAAAGGTATCTTAAAAAATAAGTTTGTTAACTAAAAAATAAAATATTTTAAATTAAATTTACAATAAAAAGGTAAATTTATGAAATATAATGGAAAATTAATTTTTTAAGTTGCTAAAACATTTGCTCATATTAATATATATTTTAAATTTTACGAATAAAAAAAAATATTTGAATATAAAATCCCAGTTCCCCTATTCTAGTTATATTTTTATTATAATAAAAAAACACACACCAGAGCAGGGTATTATTATATTTCGGAGAGTACGTGCAGTCCGACGACAAGAACAAGGCTAAATTGGAGAATTCGGATATTGAAAACAAATAGATTATTTAGATGCCGAGCACAGAACCCAAGGTGCAATAAAGGGCTACACCCTACATCCCTAGATTTGCTTTTTTCTAAGTGACTCGTGTCAAGACATCATCCGTGGACACTGAACATAAACTACCAAAAAAGCTCAAATCTGGTTCAGGTTTTTTTGGCGAAATGGTGGCAGCATTTGGGGATGTGTGATCCTGCCTCCTCCTTGCACCAATTTCTATGTTGCTCGTAATCCGACGCCGTTTTGTCGATCTTGCCTAGGTAGCCTCGGCTCGTGATAGAGCGAAAAAGGCAAAAAAGCTTTACTTTGCGAGGTGAGCATGGCATGCAGTCATGGAGGTTCAGCTTTCACTTCGGAGTTTGTAGTCGTGGAACCAATTATAAACGTGCAAGTACATGTCTTGTGCATGAAAACAGAAAGAAAGCTTTTCTTAAAACCGGGTTTCTTATTAAATGTGATGTTAGGTATGGAACCAAACATTATTGAATTTGGAAAAGGATTTTGAGCTAGTTATTTCCATGTGTTTAAAAATATTTTTTTATTTTTTAATTAAATTTTTTAATAATTTTAATATGTTAACATCAAAAATATTTTTTAAAAAATACAAAAATATTATTTTAATATATTTTTTAGTTAATTCTTTAAAAAAATATTTACCAAGTTTCTAAACATAACTTTCGTACATGTATATGGAAGGACATGAGAGTTTTCTTAAAATTGGGTTTACAGTTTAATCAAAATATAATGTTAAATTTGAAACCGGATGCTTTACTCTGCTTGGAAGAAGACTGGTTCAAGAAATAAAATTTGTTGTGATAAAAGAACAGCAAGATTTTCTCTTTGGGAGGAAAAACTATAAAAAAAATCGAATTTTTATTGGTGAAAACATTTGTATCTGTGATGGTAATGGGGTAAGGTGTATCAAAAACCAAGAACATGCACTGGATCTGATGTTTATATTTGATCTAAATCCAGAGACATGCAGAAAATCCACTCACTGTTTCTAGTTTTTTTTCTTTCCTTTTTTCAATAATGCGGTCGCAGTTTCTTACTGGCTTAATTATTGCTAGAAAAATATTTATATAGATTCATAATAAAAATGTTATAATATCTTTTTTGAAATCATTACAGTATCTCCAAAAAAGCTCTGTTTTCTTTACTTAAGAAAGAAATCTCAACATTCCCAGGCCTTCACATCCAGAAATCAAGTGCTTTTCTCGTTGTATCTTCTTGCTGTTTGCGTTCGTAAATATTAATGGCATCTTGAAAATGTTACCTCCCCACCAATCAGTACACCAGATGTGGAGGTGTCGCCTCAAACCTTTTACCTCACTCGGCAGTGAATCCGATACGAATCACATAAATTTCACTAGCCGCCACCCTGGAAGTAAAAAAGTAAAGACTGGTGGTTGATCCCAGCTGGATCTGGACAGTTCTGGAGTTCTATGCTACCCCCATCTCTCCTCACGTTGTCCCATCTAAACTTTTTTCTTGCAACTTTCTTTTTTCCTCTCGAGAGAGATTCCACGAAGTTATTTAATTTCTCTTCATTTTTATTTTTTAAAACTATTTTTCCCATCAACTTGGTAGTCTCTTTTTATCTATAAATTCCATCCTCTCATCACTTCAAGTCCCCCCCCTCTCTTCCCCTCTCTCCCTTACTAAATCTTTAGCATCTTTTTGGTTCCTTTCCTTGGAGATATTCTGCTAGTAATGTTTTTTTGTCCTTCAAATTAGCTTTGAACTGAAGCCATATTCGTCCATTTCTGTTCTCCAATCTTGATCCTGGATCTCAGTTTCTTGAATCCAAAATCAATTAGTACGCTGTGATTTTCTCCATCTTGGTGCAATTTTTCTGTGCCAAGCAGGGGTTTTAGGCTTTTTTATAATATCAATTAGTACTCACAATCTTTTTCTCTTGGGTTTTAGTGGGATTTTTTAAAAGTTGTCTTGATGATAAGTTTTCTGCTCTTAATGTTTGAGATTCATGTCTCCAATTCTCAGTGAGATTTTCATTTCTGGGTGTATGATAAATTCCACTTTCAGGCGCAGGACCCATTTAGTTCAATCATTCTCAGTTGTTTTCCTTTACTGGTTGTATTACGTTTCATGATTTTTGCTCAAAATCTGACCTTTAGATTATAATTTATATATAATATATATATTACCATTTCTACTACTGTTGTCTGCATTAGTTTTGAGTCTGTTGCTATCTGGGTCCTGCCATAACTCTTTCTTTGTTGCTGTTCTTGTGTAAAAGTTGATTACTTGTTTTGTGGGTCTCTCATGGCTTCGTCCAGTGGAACATCTTCAGGGTCATCTTTGATTCAGAACTCGGGTTCTGAAGAGAATTTGCAGGCATTGATGGATCAGAGGAAGAGGAAGAGAATGATATCGAATCGTGAATCGGCAAGGAGGTCTAGAATGAGAAAACAGAAGCATTTGGATGATCTAGTAGCTCAAGTGGCTCAATTGAAAAAGGAGAATCACCAGATTATTACCAGCATCAATATCACCACTCAACATTATTTGAATGTGGAGGCTGATAACTCAATCTTGAGAGCTCAAGTTAGTGAGCTCAGCCACAGATTGGAGTTTCTGAACGGGATCATTAGTTTATTGAATTCAAGCAATGGCCTCTTTGGAGATTCAAGCATCTTTAATGAGCCAGCACCCGACAGCTTCTTGAACCCATTGAACATGTCCTATCTGAATCAGCCGATAAGTGCCTCTGCAGATATGTTTCAATACTGATTTGTTCTCCATTATGGGCGTGATCCTAGGACTTCTAACAGAAGAGAGAGAGATCCATTTGGCACTAACAATCAAGCTCAAGAAATTATCACTTAAAAGTTGTTAAGAATTCAAGTGGTTTGGAATAAAGGTCCGGTGTGAGAGCGGATATGTAAGAAAGAACAAAAGGGTTGTGGCTATAGGTTCTTGTTCTTGTTCTGTAAATGGGGTTATTAATATTGCTGTTTGATGTTGAAGGAATTTGCTGTTATCCTATATGTAATGGTATTTTAATGAGTTTTGCTTCTTAATTGTTCCATCTTGTGTGTATGAATGGTCTTTTACGGTGACATCAGTTCTATGGCTCTCGCATTATTCTCTTCAGAAAAATATCTGAAAAAACGATTATGGGGGTCTCTTATGTTTTGACAGACTGAAACAACCGAGTACAAACACAATACTTAATTCAAAAGTGTATAAAAACAAAGCAGCTTTCTTCCTCCAAGTGAATGATCATGGAGTTTTTTATATCTGTAGTGGTATATTTTTAACCAACTGGCTTGGAGCGATGAAGAAGTGCGCGCTGATTTATACTGCCCTTTGAATTTGTGAGCTACAAAATGATTTCATACACTGTGAGAAGTTTCAGAGAGTTACCACCTATGATTGCTTCATTTGAAACAACATATAATGATTTGATACTTTTGCTCCAAGTCATTTTGCAATGATATCTCTACCGATAATATCTTCGTATGAAGTGAGAGAACGGGACTTTTAACGAGAACAAGTATCTGATCCAAACCTGCATTGTATATTTAGCACCTCTCGTTTGCAGATTAATTGAATGACAAGATCCCAGGAGGAGTGGCCAATGGCCCCCAGCATCTTTACTCGAATATTGTGAGACTGGAGAGTTGCAGTTAAATATTGAATCCATGGATCAGGACCATTGAAACTCCTAGGAACTGGTTTAGTTGCCTCCGGCAGATACTTTTCCCTCGAGGCTAAGTAATATTTTCTAATCATTTTTCAGGTGTTGAAATTAAATCAACTTTTTTGATCCATTCAAATACCAGCCAAGTTAACTCGCAATCACATTTTTTATAATTCACAGTGCTGTTGCCGGGGCTGGTTCCCGTTCACACGAATAAACTCTTGATGGATGCAAATGAGCTCTCGCTAGAGAGAGAGGAGCGATGAAAAGCAAATAAAAAAGGTAACTGAACAGTTGAAAAATTGTTAAAGATACACAACAATAGTAATAGGATTTTTAAAGCTGAAAAGACACAGCATGATTTCTCAAATAGCTATGGTTCTTGGAGTTATGCAGCGAATCCCCGTGCAGGGAACAATACTTAAAGACACATTATGGTGAAAAATAAGAGTAATTATACTTCTGATTAATTTTATTTTTCTTACATCTTCATAAACAATGTAAATGGTTTATTCGAAATTCACCAAAGATAAAAATAAGAATACAATGATTTAAGCGACCAGCCAGAACGAGGTGAAAAACTGAGCTTAGTAATTTTCGTGCGAGGAGAAAGGCAGCAGGAAACAAGGCAAATGGGCTCCAGCTTCGTTTGTTGGGAAATGGAGGCTGTGGATTTACACTTGCATGTAAAAATTTTTTTTAAAAAAAAAACATAATGAAGGGCTTTTTTATAAGTTTCAATGACGCCAAATTTGTCCTTTGATGCTACATCTTCCTTCCACGTAAATAAATACAAAACATAGCAAGGTGACAAACATTGTAATGCCCTGGTCGCAATCACACGTTTCCGTAAGCAGTTAAGCTACTTGCTTGGTTCTTCTTTTCTTAATGGCGTTCTTCAACAGCCTTTAGGGAGCCGGTAAGATCAAATTAATCTTCAATTAAAGTGAGACATAACATTGAACACCGGAGAAAGCTAGTCGACATCATCGCAGGTTTTTCTAAGCATTTTCTTGACTTCGAGATCAACAGTACTGGCCTTGGCTTTTTAAGTTCTAGAACAGTAGTTTTTGGAGCAGGCTAAAAAAATATGGATACTTGGTAAAAAACACGGGACTGAAAGTTATTTTCTACTGGAAATTATAATTAAATATTCACGTGTTATATATTGTACAAGCAAAAATGAAATGTTTATAGAATTCTATAAATATTTTTCATGGACTTCGATACAAAAATTATATATTCATAAAAACAATGGAGCTTCCTCGCTGGGATTCAAAGCTTGGAGCTCCAGAAACTCCAAACACTCCAGCGAGGCTTGGATTGAGTTTTGAGAATGTTGGTTGATGGTTCCGGCGTATGGTCTCTTCTTAGTTATACACTAGATTTTTGCAAAAAAAAAAACTATGAAGTTATAAAAAAAAAAAATTAATCAATTGATAAACTTAAAATAAAAAGAATTGTAATCATAAAAACAGGGTTGAATTAAAACAAAAAGGTGAATTAAAATCAAAAAATAAATTTTAACTAGAAAAAAAATTAAAAACAAAGTAAATAATAATAAAAAATAATCAAATTTAATTAAAAAACATAAAAAATTAAATATCAATAAATAAAATTAAATAAATAAATAAATTAGATCGAGAGATTAAGAGATTAAGGATTCCTTTATAATTTTATAAGGCCATCATATCTTATCTTTTAAGGTTGAAAAAAAGAAAAATCATTAGAACTATGTTGTGACCTAGCAATAGACACGTGTTAGCTCATGGTTTAGAAGATGACACAATGCTTTAAACGCTATCTTGAAAGATGACTAACAATCACACTATAAACACATCCTAGCTCACCATTTAGAGGGTGACACAACATTTTAAACGCTATTTTAAAAAGCAACTAAATTACAAATTTAACACACACCAGCATTTTTAAAAGAATCAAAGTTAAAAACCAAAAATGTCGATAATGTTGGCATTATATTTCGGAAGCATTTCTAAAAAAGTTTAGATTTTTTTTTTATTTTAAATTAATATATTTTTAATGTTTTTAAATTATTTTAATACGTTGATATTAAAAATAATTTTTAAAAAATAAAAAAAATATTATTTTAATATATTTTAAAATAAAAATTACCTTGAAATATCAATATCACAGTTCCGAACGCCTTAATGCTCAAAAAAACCGACTTGACGCGGGGCGGAACATCTGCCCATCCAGTCACTGCAAACAGTACACTGTCACAGTTCCGAACGCCTTAATGCTATAAAAAAACCGACTTGTCGCGGGCGGAACATCTGCCCATCCAGTCACTGCATACAGTACACTGTCACTGTGCCACTCTGCAATCCAATTTATATCTATTGTTTTTACTTTTAACTTTTAAATACGGCTCCAAGTCGGTTTACAGCGTTCAATTCAAAGATGTACTCTTTACCGCTGGTCCAGAGGCTCAGGACCCATTTTGTCACCTTCCAGCTGTGACCATGCCATTGCTCACAGCCCCATCACCCACCGTTTATTTGGATAGAAAGAAGGCTTCTTTCGTGGGTAATTGATGTGACCATTTCTGACTTTTGCTTTATTCATCCAGCAGCCCACTGATCTATCAAAAAACCAGCACCCCTTAACCTCACCTCCCGCGATAATTAAAAGTTAAAAAATTAAAAATACTCTTTGATCTTTCACCAAAAAAAAAAAACAAGGGATATACTGTCGTTATATTATATAAAAATTATGAAGATTCAAAAACTCTATTTAAATATTAGCTGCCTTTTTTTTTCTTCAAGTATGAGCATAATTATACTGCGCAATAAAATGAGAAAATACCACTTTACTCCTGAGTGTGCTTTCAATTTCTGGGTTTTCGGAACGCAAAATTGTAAATTTAATGTGGATTGAACCGTTCCACGGTAAAACACTAGGCCGATTAAACTTTATATCTAATTAAACTTCAAATTAAGACCATGACAATTCATTAAAAGCAGTGGAGTTATAATTTTTTTTAAAGAGTCAACGAGTATCCCTAATAAAAGATTTCACGTGCACATGGAAATAATGAATAAAAAATTCAGATATCTAAACCACATTATTGTTATTATTAGTAAATTTTTTTAGATTAACATAAATGTTCAGGTCAGTTTACTTGCGTACATTACCACTAATTCCACGGATCTTGAAATTAACGACCATGTAAGCCTCCAATAATTATCATATGAGCAACCAAAGACAAACCACAAAAAAAAAAAATCTATTGGTCTCAAGTTTTTACCATTTAACTATCATCTAGATGGTTATTATTAATAAATTTGTTTAGGAGCTTAATTGTATTGTATCATATGAGCAACCAAGGACTCGAATTTAAGATCATAAAGAGAACAAATCTCTTGATCTCAAGTTTTTACCATTTGACCACCACCTAGATGGTTATTATTAGTAAATTTGTTTAGGAGCTTAATTGCATTGTTTTTTAAAATATATTTTTATATTTTTAAAATATTTTTTAATATCATTATAGTGCAGAGCATAAAATAATTAATATTCAGTAAAAAAAAAATAAAAAGCAAGAGCTTCTTTGGATTTTGGGTTCCTGGTATTTGTAGATTACGAAAATCAACTTCTAAAACTTGCTGGAGGTACCAAGGATACGGTTATACACCTATAAGCTATAAGATACAAAACACAAATCACTGGTTTTTTTTAGAATCAAACAAATAGATGGAAGCATTTAACAGAGTTTTAATATTTCAGCAAGAAGACGAAGTCGAATTTGAATTAAAATGGAGAAAGAAAGCGAAATCCAAGTTCGTGTTGTCGTCCATCAGAACCCGTCGAGGTGTCCCGGCAGATTACATGCCTTTACTGGGCCATCTCCAATGGTGGTCAATTACCCTCTCCTTTAACTTAATTTAAAAACGTGATTAATTACGAAATTATATTATTTTAAGTCAATATAGATAAGCCTCATCCAACTTTTTGATCATTTTATATATAAAAAAAGGGATCTTATTGAGTGTTGACCAAGTATAAATGGTACAGGATTAAAGCCATCGTGCTTAAAGGAGCCTATATATATATATAGAAGCATGCTTGTTACTTTAATTTGTTGCTATGCAAGAAAATAGAACAGGCAATAGCCATGCATGGCGTGAACTAGCCATTTTTAATAAAACAGGTTTGAGTTCAATAACTCTGATTTATACTAGGAGATGGTTATCTTTGAGGGCCTATCAAGCCTCCCAATAAAGGAAATAAATAAATAAAAATAAATCGAGATAGAGGGAGAAATTCCAAATGTGGCATATATCAATCTCGCTCGACCGAAGCAATTTATTTTTGTTCGGGGAATGGGAAAAAAAGTGGGAAAAGACGAGGTTGAAGACGATAGA